CCCCCGCGGGTCCCGGGTTGGTTCATTGCGTTGCGGTCGCTGGGCATGGCCGGCGGTCCGGCCGTGCCCTCCTTCGCATGCCGAGCTCGGCTCTCTCCATCGCCGAAACTAAGTGCCAGGCGGTGCTAAATTGGGAAGGTTCCTCGGAGCTGATTGCCATCTGCTTTCTCCGTGGTGGAGGAGACGGGCTGCTGGCTGGTGGGGCAGCAGAAAGAATGAGATCCACGAACCGGCAGTTAAAGGAAAGCATGCCCTGATAATTACACTTTTGCATCAACAAAAAATGCCTTCTTTTTTTTTTTTTTTCCCAATAAGTAGTTCAGCAATAGGAAAGAGAAGACAAGTCTCTGCTCTGAGATACTGCAAGCTCAAAACAAAGAGAGTAATTTAACAATGTCCTTGCTGACAACACCCTTCTTTTTCTGGGGAAGATACAAATGGAGTAAATGGGACACAAAATTACCGCATACATGGCAAATCTGGAAACAGAATAGAAAATAAATGAGATTTAAAAGCTGAATGGGGGAAGGGGAGCAAGATTTTTTTTTTAGGTGCTTACTTAATTGCCTTTCAGTGCAATTAATTGGACTTTGTGAATCGCATTATATTTGGAGCTGTCATCTTTTGCTCCCTCAAAGACAAAATAATCGGACACTCGGAAAGAGAAAGAGGTGGGGGAGGAGATCCTGCTCCTCGGTAGCGTGAAGGAATACCTTCCAAAAAGAATTGCAACAGTGCAGGAATTGCTCCTACACGCTGCATTTTGTAGCTCAGATCGCTGGAACAGAGAGAGGACTTCTGATGGTCCAGCAAAACAAAAGCCATAAACACTCAGTGTTTAGTCCCCTGCCAGATTCCCTACAAGCAGTCATTGCCGTTTCCTCAGGTGACTCGCAAGGGTTTGCTCCTCCTTCAGTAAGATTTGACTTGACATGCCATCTCTTACCTGCCAGCCACCATCTCCCCTTTCTGGGGGCGGGGAGGGGGGGAGGAATTCGCTGCCGTTACATAACGGTTACCTGGAGCACCGCACATGTTCCCGAAGCAGGGATACCTCCGGACCGCAGGCGGGAGATGAATTTCTGTAATATTGCAGATCGAGTGCAAATGGCTAGGAAGAAACTTTCACAGGGCGCCGCTTTTCAGTGTTCAAATGTTTCCCTTGTGCATTTCACAGTAATTCCTTTCCCACTCATTTGAGAAAGGCAAGTAATATGTTTAGCTCTCCTCCCAGTAATGTGTGAGCAGTGTAATGAAACAAATGTTGTCTATAGGTCAAATATACTGCCTTCCTGCTTTTATTTCACCCATCCTGCATGACATTGCTAACCACAGAGTCAGTGTGCAATGTGACCCCTGACCCTGTCAGGGAGTGGGGCTCAGCATCCTCTGAGCTCCGGTGCTTTGCAAGCTTCTGAGACCAACAAGATTGTTTTTATATTTGTGCCAGCAGATACCACTCCCTCTAACATTTACCTGGAGCGTAAAGAAATTAATTAGCTGTTTGGCAAGAGTGTAGTGGGGGCCTGTGGCCACTTGGATGCTATCATTCTACCTGTTTCTTGCACACGGGAGCTATGTGAGCAAGGGAGATTGGCCTGTTGGTGTCAACCATCATCCCACTTGTTGAGGGTTTTAATTAGCAGGAGTTTGAATGAGGAACAGCAGAGACACATCTCGTGCTGCAGGTCTGACGCTGGTTCTCATCCTCTTCTCTTCTCCCTTTCACTGCAGGAGCTGGAGTGG